TAATGTGAAGTGTATTTACAGTTCAATTTATATTTGTGTTTAATTTTTTGTTAATACTCCATATTTAGAAGAATTTAGGAAATGAATTATAGGAAATTTATAACCTAAAATACTTCATTCATTTAATTTTCCTTGAATTCCTGTACATGAAAATGTTTTAAATCACTATGGCTACTTTGTGTGAATTAAGATTAAACTTTTAACATTTTAAACAAATGTGTTTGACTTAAAATGTTGCCCCTCTTATGAATTATTTTCCCACTTAAGTATTTAATTTATATGGCTTTGTATAATATTCCACTCTTTGGTTTAGGAGATGATAGTAATAGTGTGCTACTTTGATCTTGGAATTACCTCCTATTGTACATTGAGTTTCTATAACATGGTAATAGTTTCAGTACCTGTCTTTAATTAATAGCTTTTCTTCTTTGTTTCTTCTCTTCTGTTTTCTTTTTGGTTCCATTCTTTTCTTTTTTGCAGTGGTTGCCAAAAAACCTGAGATTCCATTCGTATCCGGCAAGTGCTGTACCATGGAGTTGTACCCTTTGCACTATAAACTGTTTTTTTAAATTTCAGGCTTAAGTTCACAGCAAAATTGAAAGGAAGATCCAGAGATTTGCAGTTGATCATGTACCTCTCACACATAAGTTGCCTCCCTCTATGGCCAGTGCCCTCCCTTAGACTAGAACACTTGCTATGGAGAGTGACTTAAACCGGTCCATTATTATAATCCAAATCTGCAGTTAATATTAGTTTCACTGTTAGTGTTCTCCATCTGATGGGTCTATTCAAATGTGTAGTGTATTTGCTGTTGCATTTATATTTGTTCTTAATTTTGTGTTAAATTCCAGAATTCATAAATATTTAAGACATGAAATATAGGAAATTATGATTTAAAATATTCCTTTTATTTAATTTTCAATTTTGTAATCTTGTACATGATAAAGTATTTTAAATCAGTATGTCCAGTATCTGTGCACTAACATTATAGTGAAGTTTTAATATTTTAATAAATGCATTAGACCTAGTAAAACCATTTTACTACATGATTGTATCACTAAGAAGTGATTGTTGTAAATAAAAATAAAATGTTAAGTCACCTATCAATTATTTTCTTGCCTAGGTATGTGACTTATATTGTTCTATATATTTTCCTATTCTTTGGATTAGGAGATGATACCTATTCTGTGCTACTTTGATCTTGTAATTATCTCCAGGTATATACTGAGTTTCTGTAACATGGTAGTAGTAGTTTCGGTAACTACATTTAATTAACAGCTTTTTCCTGTGTTGTTTTCTTTTGTCTTCCCTTTTGCAGAGCCTCAACCTTTTCCTGTGGCTCCATTCAGGCCAGGCAAGTGTGCTATCACTGAGGTGTATCCTTTACACTAAGAAGTTTGCTTTCTTATATCAGGTTTAAGTTCACTGCAAAATTGAAAGGAAGCTCCAGAGATTTGCAGTTGATCATGTGCCTCTCACACATAAGTTGCCTCCTTCCATGGCCAGTGCTCTCCCCTAGAGTAGTACACTTGTGATAGATGATGACTTACCACGAGTCTACCCTTATCCTTAAAATCTGAATCTGCGGTTAATGTTAGGGTTCACTGTTAGTGTTCTCCATCTGATGGGTCTATTCAAATGTGTAGGGTATTTACTGTTGCATTTATGTTTGTTCTTAATTGTTTGTTAATACTCCATATTCAGAAGAATTTAGGAGATGATTATAGGAAATTTATAATCCAAATGTTACACTTCTTTAATTTCTACTTCTGAAATCCTATACATGAAAAATAGTTTTAAATTAGTATGGTTACTTTGTGTGTACTAACATTAGAGTAAACTTTTAATTTTTTAAGTAAATGTGTTAGACTTAGTAAAAGAATATTACTACATGGTTGTATTACTGAAAAGTGATTTTTGTGACTAAAAATAAAATTTGAAGTCACTTAACAATTATTATCTTCCCACTAAAGTATGTAATTTGTATTGTTCTGTATAATGTCCTACTCTGGTTTAGGAGGTGATATCTACACACTGTTACTGTGTTTTTGAATTATCTCCAATTGTATACTAAATTTCTGTATCATGGTATTAGTAGATTCATTAACTTTCTTTAAATAATACCTTTTTCTTTGTTTCTTTGTTTATTCTCTTTTTTTTCTGTTTCATTGTCTTCCTTTTTGCAGTGGTTGCCACTCAACCCGAGACTCCACTCAAGTCAGGCAAGTGCTCTACCACAGAGCTGCACCCTTTTCACTAAGAACTTTGTTTTTTATGTCTGGCTTAGGTTCACAGCAAAGTTGAAAGGAGGATCCAGAGGGCTTTGATTGATCATGTCCCTCTCACACAAAGTGTTTTGCTTCCCTCCATGGCCAGTGCCCGCCCCTAGAGGAGTACCCTTGTTACAGATGATGACTTACAGTGGTCCTTTGTTACGTTATCATCTAACGTTGGCAGTTAACATTAGGGCAAACTGTTGGCATTCTCCATCTGATGGGTCTATTCAAATGTGTAGTATATTTACTGCTGCATTTATATTTGTTCTTGTTTTTTTCTTAATACTGCAGAATTCAGAAGTATTTAAGAAATTAAGTATAGGAAAATTTTTATTTCAAAATACTCCATTTATTAATTTTTACTTCTGAAATCCTATACATGAAAAGAGTTTTAAAGCACTATGTTTACTGTCTGTGTAATAACATATAATAAAGTTTTAATATGTCAATAAATGCATTAGACTTAGTAAATAACATATTACTGTATGATTGTATCACTGAGAAGAGTTTTTTGTGACTAAAAATAAAATTTTAAGTCACTTATACATTATTTTCCCACCCAAGTTTGTAACTTATGTTGTTCTCCGTATTTTCCTATTCTTTAGTTTAGGAGATGATATCTAGTCTGTGCTACTTTGATCTTGTAATTATCTCCAGGGGTATACTGACTTTCCGTATCTTCTGCAGTACTGGGTTTAGTAACTATCTTTAATGAATAGCTTTGTTTCTTCTCTTTTATTTTCTATGCGTTCTTTTTTGCAGTGATTGGTAGACCTCGGACTCCATTCATGCAAGGCAAGTGCCCCTCCACTGAACTGTACCCTTTGCACTATGAACATTTTAAAATATCAGGCTTAAGTTCACAGCAAAATTGAAAGAAAGCTCCAGAGATTTCCAGTAGACTGTGTGCCTCTCACACGAGTTGCCTCCCTCCATGGCCAGTGCTGTCCTCTAGAGTAGTACACTTGTTATAGACGATGACTTACACTGGTCCTTGGTTCCCATCCAAAGTCTGCATTTAACACTAAGTTTCACTGTTAGCATTCTTCATGTGATGGTGGATTGGAATTTGTTGTGTGTTTCCTTTAGCAGTGTCATGCCTCAGACAGCTCCTTTGTGCTATTTGTTCATTGCCTCCCTGGCCCTGCACCACCCCACCAATACTGCAACCACTGAACTTTTCATTTTCCTGGCAGTGATCATTTTAGCAGATCTGCTCCTTCATTGAAATGATACAGTGGATAATTTTTGAAGATTAAAAGCAATAACTGTTCAAGCTAACTGAATGTAGCCAATAAAGCTGTTACTTGAACTGCCTTTTTTTCCTCTTATTGGGGATGTTGCTAGGGACCGAAGCCAGTGCTTTGGCCATTCCAGGTCAATGATTTACCATGGAGCTATACCTCCAGCCTTAGTTTTTGTGTTTTTCATGCTTGTATGAATATGCGCTGATGGCATGTGCTCCACATGCTGAGCTGGCCTGCTTTCTATGTGGATTCCTCATCATGAGGAGGGTTGCCAAAAGTGACATCATGCTGAACTTCAGAGCACGAACTGCACCACCTTGTTCTGTTGGGTCCAGACAGAACCTTTGAGAATGGAGGCAGACACTGGCGAGTGCTGTGCTTCTCAAAGTGCCTCAGGGCTTTCATTCTTACCTGGAGATGGGAAGTAAGATGAGGGAGTAATGAAAGCTATAGGTGAGTCAAAATGCTCCTCTTCCTTTGAGTGCAAGTCATGTTAAGTTAGTAAAACATGACCGATTTTATCATTATTATTATTGGTCCTCACTCCTTCAGTACTAGGGACTCAGTGGTCTTGTGCGTGCTGTGCACACATGTTTACCACTGAGTCCAACCCCAGCCCTGACTTTGTATGAATAGGTTCTCTGTCACGGGAAATCAGAGGCTTTTGGTTCTTTGTGTTGTTTTGTTTTTTTCCCAAAGTTTACATGACGTAAAATTTTGTCTTTCACTTGTCACATTCTGAGAGGCTCAGTGAGTTAGTGGTTTCATTTGTATGTTTTCATTATTCCATGTAAGATAGTGCTCCCTGGCAGCTGGTTGCAACCTCCCCGGTGCTGGCTTTTAAGCTTTTCAGACTGGACCAGCTTGTAAGGGCTAGAGCTCTGAAGTGGTTCTTTCCATGGGAAGTAAGATAGCAGATGAACTTGAGCCCTGTTTCCATCACACATATGACAGAGAAACCAGGGAGAACTAAGGGAGCTCCTTAGCATCTTCCCTAGGAGAGGAATAGCAAGAGTAAGTGCACAGACTTCTCCTGAGCTCTTCTCCACTGAGAGCTGGAAATCATTGCAATGGTGCTTGTTTCAGGTGTGCTTCCCATATTTTGCCATGCTGCAAATTAGAATGCCCTTTACAGCTTCCTTGAGCTAAAGTATTTCCTCTTCAAACTCTACAGTTCCAACTGAATGCTACAGCAGCTGCCTTGTGTCTTAAGAAAATAAGTGTATCTTTTATGATCGTTCCTAGTGCCACTACTCTAGGAAAGTCATGCTCTTTGTTTGCCATGTCAGCTTATGCCAGTGATACTGCTAATGGTACCATTTCTGTCAATATAATACCTTTAGGTAGGATGTGATTGTGCACAGCACTATTGCTCATTTAGCTATCAAATGTAGGTAAATTCTCTTCTTCCCTGCATTTCTTAAATAAAAAATAGGAAGTGAGATTTCTTATTGCATTGCATATCAATAGCATAATTAATACTGATTGTAGAATGGGCTACAGATGTAGCCCAAAAGACTATTTTGTGTCAAAACATCAGAGTTATACTTTAATAGTTTATATTTTTGTTAATTCAAAATATATTTTACCTTTTTCTTTAATAGCACCTGCTATTTCTGAAGATGAATCTCTAACCAGGTAAGAATTTACAGGTTTTTAAATATCATACAGTGACTAATTAGTGAGTGCAGAAAAAGAAAATAATGTTTTTTAGTGTTCTGTTCCAGGCCAGACAAAGTACCTGTACTGTTTTAATCCAGTTTTATTAATTTGGCTGCTGTTATGAATGGGGGTTATTTAAATGGTCCATGGTCTCATAATTAAGAAGTAACTGACCCATGTGTTGACTGTTAGCCTGCCTGGCTCCCAGATGCCTTCCATTGCCCTCTGCAGTGCTGGGATCCAAATGCAGGTCATTTAAGATCAATGTAGAAAGTCACCATAAGGGACATGTCAAGTCTGCTTAGTTTTCCTGAGAAGTTGGTGAGTTTATTCTAAAGATAATGATTGAATTGATAGCCAGTTTCTTGTTTTTACCACTATAGAACTTAGGGGAGATGTGGTAGTTAAGACTATCTTTATGTAAATCATCTTATATTATTTATGTTGAGGGTTTATTGCAATGACATTTTTAATGCATGTGTCTATTCACCAATTTCCCAGTTTGGTTTTCCTTTCAGGCTATTACTATTGCCTAGTTCTATGATTTTTTTTCCTCTTAAGTAAAATATTTTCTTGACTTTTTAAAAAATTTTTCTTCTACTTGGTATTTTTTTTTATTTCTGCTGCCTTAGTATTTTTTTTTTAGTACCAGAAATCAAATCTCACGACTGCATGCTTGCAAGGCAAGTGCTTATGCTGCTTAGTATTTCTTATTGTTCCTTAAGCAGAGTAAAAAATAAGTAGACTTTCAGGTTCTAAGGAATCTAAGAGACCAATAAAAATACCTTCTATTGCCTCAACCTGCTTAACATTCTAGCCACATGGTTGTATCATAGAGAATTTGAAGCACAATGATATTAAAGTGACTTATCTGAATATAGTTCATGGTAAAAATGAAATTGAAATCAGGTTCTATCGTTGCTGAGACTAATACACTTCCTCATGTCTCCTTCTGTGAGAGTTTCCATAGCAGAAGAGAGGAGCAGGTCTAGCATGCCCAGTGGGAGAGCATGACAGTAGAATTCATGAGGGAAGGCAAGTTTGAAGAGCAGCGTCGAATTGGGCAAGACTTGGGTATTAGAAATCAGAAAGTTGAGGTTTGTCACAAGTTTAATAAAGATAATACAGAAATTGAAGCCCAAATTAGTGAGCATTATTTCAAAAGGCATATTAAAAGTGAAGGTTTAAAGATACCTGAAAAGATTGTTGCCCTTTTGTTCAGTTGGAGAAACTGAGAAACTTGAAGATTGGTGTTGGATTGCTTAGGGTAATGTGAGCCATTGGGAAGTCTCTAGAGCAGGGAGGAATGTCCCATGGCCACCTTCCTTCTCAGTTCATGTAGGGTGGCTCAGGCCCCAAAGTCCACTGGGAACCATAAGTTGCTGAACTTCATGGGCCTGTGACCCAGGACAGATGTCTGTCACCTCCACCTCTTTACTCCATTGGCTGATGTGCTTCCTGTAGATGGAAGGTAGGCCTGGAAGTCAGACGTGCCCATTTGATTATCAGTACCTTGCTTCTGCTGAGGGTAGGTGATTGTGACACAAATAGCTTTCTTTTCAGGAACAGCTACTGTTGCTTACTTGAGTTCATCCTTGTTGCAGGAATCTATGCCTTCATAGACTGAAAAGTTTAGGTGAAGACTCTTGTGGAGCCCTCCATTGAGCAGCCCAGGAGTAGGAGCCCTTTCAGAAGGACTTTAGATTAGACTTAGGATAACAGAGGAGCAGCTGCCAGGGCTGATTTTCCAGCTAGATCCTGCTTGAATGTCAGTGTGTCTGTGAAAGTTTCACCAATTTATGTGTAGGTGAAAAAAGCAAAGCCATACAGGAAAAATAATTGGATTTTATAATTTTTAATAGTTTAATTTCCCTGGGAAGAGATTTATCAACTCACATACACATTTTTTTCTTTGATTTCCATACTTTTAACCTTCAGATATTTTTATAGTTCAATGTCCTGTTTTTATGGTAAAGGGTAAGAAACAGAGTTGTCTTACTGTAAGGGGCTTTGATAGTAGAAAAAGACTGCCATTCCAGAGTTACTTAGCATCAAACTGACTTTCACTAACTTTTGCATTAATGGAGGAAATTGCTCAACCCCAGTGTTTTAAAGGAGGAAAGATTTATTTTGACTCAGTTCAGGCTCCAAGGAAGAAATTCCTTAGCAGGGAGACAAGGTAGAGGAAAGCTCCTGCAGGCAGGAGCAGTGAGAGGGCTGAACAACCAGGGGTGAGAATTCACCCATCCAGGTCAGGACCCAGTGGCCTGCCTCAGAGCAGACCCGACCTGCTAAGGGCACAGTGAGCTACTGAACTTGCAGATGGATGAGGGCATGCTGAGTATAGGGTCCCCATGGTCCAAACACCTTCCCACTAAAGGGGACACTTAAACCAAAACCATCACAACCAGATTAGTCATTGAAACAGAGACAGACCAGGGAAAGGGGACGGTGAATCTTTTCACCTTGAGGTTACCAGGCATTTTTGAGTCCAGGTAACAACTTTTGTTGGCCATTGATTGCATTTTCACTTCAGCCTTCAGAGGAGGCAATTTGTAAAGAGAAATGACTTTTAGACTGTGCTGGTCTCTTGGCTGTCACGCTTTGGGAGTGAAAGTGAGACTATGCTGAGTGTTTCGTAGATTGGAATAAGTGAAGACAGAAGGAAACATCTAAAATATTTCAAAACTACAAGTTAAATTTTAGTTGTGTCAACCACGAACCATCATTTGATACACAGATAGCCAAGCTTTCACCAGTTTTTAAAGAATGAAACTCACCCACTGCCATTGTGTGTTTTTGCTCCCCAGCTCTTCCAGAAAACCCGGTCCTGTTAATTCCTGGCCTACATCAGATGACACTGACTTTCTTCTGGATAACAAGGTAAGTGTCTTTCGTAATGTTAGTTTTCTTCCTCTTAGTTTTGCATTGTATTGCACTTAGTCTTCAAATTTAACAGTGGTGTAGCTACCCTGAATTTATATGGAACATTGATCCACGAAGTTCATTTTAGAGAACTATGCCTAGTCAAAAAGAATTTCCACCCCTTTGGTAAATAACTGGTACATACTTTGAAGTATTTGTGACTGAAAAAACTAATGGGTTAGAAAACATACAGTGACAGGAAAATTGTGTCTGTTAAACCTTTGCCATGATGGCGGAAATACAATATTTGGTCAAGGATCATTTGGATAAGTGGACCTTGCCATGGCTTGAAAATCTTACTACCAAGATCTTCATAGCACTCATACCTAAAAAATATTTTATGATCTTATTAGTCCTTTCAATAATCAGGGAACTTTGGTGCCTTCATTTGAGCAACTTAGAGATAAAACATTTTTTCCTTTAAGTACATTTTATTTTACTGTCATACTGTTTTTATGAGAGCTTTTCTGTTGCCTTTATTGGTTCTGTTGTTGGACTAAAATAATATTGGAAACTGTGACAGCTTAGAAATTTAAAATGTTTCATCAAAGTTATCTGTATCTGTGTCATCAAACTTTAGAAGTGCAGGATTTTCATTGTTGCTATTTTATTTCTTTTGTTCCTGGGAGTTGATGACAGGGCCTGTGCAAGAAGGTCTACCCCTGGTCCTCATTTTTTTAATTAATTGAATTTGTTTTTTAATCAGGACTGGAATTTGGGATCTTTAGCCTCACCTTCAGTGCTGGGTTGAATGTGCTACTACACCTGCCTGCACCGTGTTTTCTAAGTGATTCCTCCATTAAGAGGATAACATTTTTAAAATTTTTCATCTTTTTGAAGAATACTTGTTGTGGTCAAAATAATGACCAGTCCTAGAGCTAGATGGTCTAAAAAAGCAAGTGGTAATGATTAAGTAATTGTAAGCATTATAATTTTTAAAATATACAGTTGAAGTGTCCAAATCTCATTCTGACATTTCAAGTTTCAGAAGTTTTTGTACTTCCAAATATTCATTTAAAACTCCCACAGTACTGTGAGTTTCTGGAGATTAGAAAGATGTTGTGTGAATTCTGAAGACCTGCAGTGCGGTGTTTTGTATTAAGAGGCATTTTAATACCATTTGAATGTTAATGAATGGATTTCTACCTAGTAGAACTTTTCAAGTAATGTATGCATGATTTATGTAATAAATAAGTACATTGAGTTTCTAAAAATATGCCCTAAAGTGTATATTTCCTTACTGTGCTTAGGATATATAATTTCAGGTTATGTTTAATGTTATGTCAAATAAGGAAACAAATCAGAGGAATGAATAGGTATGATACACACAGTACATTGTAGTATCCTTTAACTCTGAACATAGGTTAGAATGTCATCTTAAAATTTATTAATCTTTTCTTTTAGCCAGCTCCATGTTTACTAGGTGCATCTTTTCAAAGTGTAATTTTTCTATAGAATCCTGATTAGCAGTTGTTTCTCTGAATGAAAAACTCATGGAACATACTGTGTTTTCTTCTCTCTCTACTATAAATGCTTCAGTTCTCAGGTAGTGGTAAATAGCATGCAACCTTTCTTCCATTTGTAACTGTCATTGCATATGGTATAAATAGAAAATTAGAAGTATTGGGATATGCCATTTATTGGGAGAATAGGAATTTTTAAATAAGGTTTTACATTTCTCCCTCATGTTATAGTAGTATGCAAAAATACCTTATTCTGTAAATATATCACCATTTCCCTTCTATAATTTACAATATGTTTCCCTTTTTGAGAATGGACCTGGTTATACTTATTAGTTGGGCTTCTGACTCCTAGCTTCAGGAACCATCGTACCTCAGCTGCCCTATTAGCACAGGACACAGGTGCACATCAGCAGGCCTCCATTTCATTAAATCCTGGAAGATTTTTCTTTGAACAGGAATCTTTGGCAAAATCTTCAATGGATATTTTAGTGTTAAATCTTATGATTAAATTTTAAAATCATATTTATGTAGTGTCCCAGAAGTCAGCATTTACATATATCAATAAAAGTTTATGCTCATTTCCTGAAAAAAAGTTAGTGTATATAATTGAAAAATGGCATCTCCTTGATTTCATTTGAGGAATTTCAGAACCATGGATAGCATAGTTAGCATTACTACCTCAGTTTGCTGTATTCTACAAATACTTCACCTTTTGAACTGATATGATTTCCTGAGTGAGGTCATCTTCTCCCCTCCTCCTACAATGTGTCTGCAGTCCCAGGCCTCCAGCTTGATGTCTTTCTGCAGGCCTTGACTGTGACCTTTCCGCGATGATATTGGATGGCTCCAGACCTCTGAAGCTGAGAATTCCTGGCCCCAGCCACTCTTCTGATGACTATCGAGTCTTTCTTATTCTTTACATTCTGAGAACTGTTTTTCATTTCTAGACTCATTTTCTCACCCATCATGTAGACATTATATTCTTTTATGCTCTGCTGCCCATTAAACTCTGGCATTGATCTTACACTGCTGCCAAGAATCTGCAGATTCCCTTTTCACAAAGGGAAAGTTCCCATTCCAGCCTGAGATGAGTCTTGTGTGGTTCCCCTTGCTGCTCCTTTTTATCTGTTTGTGCCCTTCTGGAAACTATTCTAGTTGTATCATCTTCCTTGGGCAGCCCTCTTTTGCTGTATTGTTTCATGCCTCATCCTTTTGTTTCTGGTGTCCCTTTTTGAATTCTGAGGTATTTCATTTGTTCTTTAAATGAAATGGTATTCTTGAATTCTGAGGTGTTGCCTATCACTTGTAATTATTTTTGAAATAAGTATTGGTTGAGGTTTAAATGTAAATGTGATAATTTGACTTCCCTAGACAGCCTTCCTGTGTGCTTTCTCTCCCTTTCAAAAGAAATGGCCTTTCCTGAGCTTCCCAGATAGAACTGATTGTACTTGATTTGGATGTGTATCTTTGTACCTCATTTGTAGAATAAATGAAACACATTTCACTGTTTTCATTTGTGTTCATGTATCTGCATCTACTTCCGTGCAGAGCAGAATGTGCTTTCTGTTTTCAGCTTTTCCCAGAGTAGTCACTGTGATTTGATAAATTTTTTCCCGTGATTATTTCCATTATGCTGGGTGGGTCACTGGGCAATTGCATGCTTCGTAATGCTATTTTTGTTTTTGTTCTGCCTTTTTTTTGTTAGAAAGAAGCAGAAAGGCCAAAAATTATATGGCTGGAAAACGGTAAGTTTGTTCTTGTAAAAACACAAGAAGAGCAAACAGCCAAAAATGTGACAAATGTGGATGATGAGAAGAAAACTCCTCAAACTGGTAAGTTAGTGACTAGCTATGAAAATCGTTCTTGTTCATATGCTATTATTTTCAAATGTGTGTAGATCCAAAACATAATATCCATTTCTTTTAAAATTTTATTGTCTTATTTTTCTTCCACCAACATATTTCTGAACCTGTTTCTGAAATTCTTTTCACATTGACTTGTATCTTAGTGAAATATTCATGAATGCAGATGGATTTGCATACATGAGTAAAATTTATTGTAGTGAATATAACTAATGTGTCTGTGACTACATTTTATAGATACTGTGTTGCCACTGGAAGCACAGACAGATGATGAATCTCCTTGGGATTCTGAGGTATTGCCTGTAATTATTTTTGAAATAAATATTGGTTGAGGTTGAAATATAATGGGAAAATTTGACTATACTTTCTCACCTGTTCATATACCTGTAAGAAATTTTTCCTTATAGTTTTTAACCACAGTTCCTAATTTCCTGTGTAGCTTAGCTGTTTAGTATGATTATGTCTCAAAGAGTTAATGCCACTGGGTTCATAGATGAATGCAATTGCCCTGTGCTGAATCCTTTGTACTGCAGGTGAAGGAATAAATGAATGGAGTCTGAGCACACCTTTGCTACCTGTGTAAGATTCATTTAAGGAAGCCAGTGCAGTTAAAAACTAGGAGCAACATGTCATAAGCAATCAGCTTGGATTCTGAAACTAAGCTGAGCAAAATCTGAGGAATTTTTCCCAGTCAGTCTATGGCCAATGGGTGAAAATTCTGCTGAGATTCAGACAAAATGTTTGGATCATAATTTTTACAGTTTTTTACTTGACAAAGTAATAAATGATAATTGCAATAGTTAATATGTTTGGGTTTCCTGGTGTCGATCTGAACGTAGTAATTCAATAGAATCAAGGACTCAAGATGTCAATACATGGTGTTATACTCACAGTTTGGTGTTATATTATTTGAAAAAACAGAAACCAATTTTGAATGTGGAATGCAGTGAGTCTCTTTATGGCAGCCATGCTTGTACTGATAAAAATGTAAATAATGACAAATTGTGTTAGAGTGAACATTTTGATTTTTTGTTTGTTCTGTTTTGTTTTTCGGTTACTGGGGTTCAAACTCACAACCTTGTGCTTGCCAGAGAGGCACTTCAGCCACTGAGCTAAATCCCTGGCCCTAGAGTGAGCATTTTGGGAAAGGGCTAATGTCTTTGTTCCATGCAGCTCCTGCATTGTGGTACCAGGATGGTGGTTGAAGTCACAAGATGTGTTAGTATTCTGTCTGTTAGTAACTGCTAAATCTTGGAAACATAATTTAACGAATTTGGCTTTTGGTGACCTTATTATACCATGAAGATGGCACATGATCTACTACTTATGTGATGCTTTCTATATGTCATAGGAAATTTGTGATAAAAATTGTAAAAATACTTTGAAAGTATAAAAGGTTTTACCTGAATAAATATTGAAGATTTTTTCCTAAACATGAGATCAGCAAAATAATAATGTGAAGAAAAGAGTAAGAAAGATGAGAGGGGCATGTAGATTGCTGGTTTGTAAATGGTAAAACTCTTAGTAAAACTGTTGATGGAAACAGCATATAGGAAGAGAGTGGCTTGGTGCTTGAGGCTTCCCTGATGAGATTTTAAATGTGAACTTGAATAAATCTCTGTTTTAGAGTACCACTGTGTACCAAGTAGTGAGATACTGAATATCTTAGGTGAAGACTTATGTTATCATGATAGAGCAGTCGAATGAACAAGAAGCACTTTTTATTTCATTAATTTGAGTCCATCCTGTGGCCTTCCCATGGCACTACACCACCAGCCATATTAGACTTGAGACAGGGTCTTTCTATGTAACCACATTCCCAAGACTGGGCTTGAACTGGTGCTTGTCATGCCTTACCCTTCCAGAAGTTTGGAATTACAGGTGTGCACCACTAGGCCTGCAAATGTTAAAGAATTTTCGAGGGGGGTTTCAGTACAGATGGGAATGAGAGTGAACTGCTGCTAATATAAGAGTGAACAGGAGCCAGCACAGTAAAGTCCAGGAGGACACTGTGGGCAGGACCATGAGCCCTGTCTGTCCATCACTGCAGCACCCTACAGTGACCAGGAAGCAGGAAGTGCAGTTACTTCCTCACAGTTATTTACAGTTTTGCAACAGATAGAAAAGAAAATGTGTAAGTCGGTATGTTGTAAATTGGGGGCACTTTGTAAAAAAAGTTTTTATGGTGCAGTCTTTTTTCATACTTTTTCAAAGTTTTTCTTAATTGGGAAAGAGTTGTATATAACATCTCATATTCATGTGCTAGTTCTTGAATATAACATGAAGTTATCAGTATATTTTTATTTTCAAACATTTTTCTATCAGTAAAAATATTATCTCAGAATTGCTTTTCTTTCAAGTCCTTGTTTACACAAGTGAAGTAGTGCCTGCAATGATGTTTTTACTCAGCATGGCTCTCTGAAGTTTCTTACTGGCCGAGTATCTTAACAGTGACATGACTTCTGTGAATAGAATGCTTAATGCTGAATAATAACAAGTATATTTATAAGAATTTGTTTATTCAGGGAAGGGAAAGTGATATTAGGGTGTAAAGGGAACCAAGGTAATCAAGAAATGATAACTCATGTAGCAGTTCCCCAAAACACGTGTAATTGTTACATATCACAAACATGCACTCATAAAAATGGCTTCATGTAAATCTGTATGTTTCAATGTTACATTCATTGGAGAGTGCAGCGTACTGTTGACTCTTGTGAAGCTAGGATGAAATAGGTTTGTCAGACAGAATTTTGTCTCTGAATCCTTCCTGTAGCATTCCATGCCTGCTTTACAAAGTCAGCACCCATATGGAGACAGCAACTGGGCTTGTCATAAGGTTCACATGGGAGACATTTTGGTTCTCAGTATATGCTTCCCATTATTAAACCTGCTTGCCTTAAGATGGTAAAAATCAGATAGCTTCTTTGGAAATGAGTAAGAAATGCTTCTGTAACTCATTACTGCTATATGAATTTTCACAGAGTATCTCTGAGAATCTTCCACAGCAGCCTGTCGATCCTTTTCCTGGGGATGCAGATGATGGAGGAAAACATGCAGGAAATACACAAACAAAAGGTAGGAAATATGTGTAATTTATTTAGAGAAGTTATTTGATAGTTATTTAGCTAAAAGTAGAGCATTGCTGGATTATAATAGTCAAAAAACTACCCATGAATTGGATAGTAAGAAAAAAGAAGTAAATCAGTAGTAAGTTTTATATACTTTGAAGTTTAAGTAATAGGTTAATTTGAGGGTCACTGAGGGAGCTACCTTGTTAGCACCATTTCAAGGCATTCTAATGTCTGAGGGAAGTTAGAAAATTAATAGGAAAGAAAGGAGTGAAGAATGCGAAAGCAATAATACAGGGAGTAAACAAAGAAAACAAAGTATGGAGTGTGGAAAAATGAAGTAATTCTTTTTTTTTTGTCTTTTTCCTTTTTTATTGGTACCAGGGATCGAACTCACGACTGCCTGCTTGCAAGGCAGGCACTTATGCCACTGAGCTAAATCCCCAGCCCCTGAAATGAAGTAATTCTTAAGAGAAGGAAGATCAAGGTAGCAGAAGTGTAGAAATTGTATCAATTGAGCATTGAGTAGCAAAACTTGATAGAGAAGTAGAGCAGAAGTTTTTCACTTTCCCTGTCTTCTTACCACTGGAAAGGCATCAAGGACTGAAGTACTAGATTATGCAGAGCTCTTCTTTATTCACTACAGATCAGAATAAACAAGCAAGGTCAGCTATATGCGTAGTTTCACTGGTACCTTGGTTCATGCACTTACTTCTCCCACAATGCTGGTTGCAGAATTCCATTTACAGTTTTACCACTTAAAAAGAGTTGCTGTTTCATCATGTAGTGTATCCAGAATGAGACAGTAAAAAATAGAAAGAAAAGAATGCTTTTTGAGATCAGCAAAGTCATAGTCTCAGTAAAAAGTCCATAAGAAAGTGGTTGACATTCGTGCATTTTCAATTTGGGTGACATGATGAGGAGGAAGTCAGCACCACTTTCCAAAAAGGGAAAGAAGGGAAGGGAAGAGGATTTGGAAGAGACTCAGGGAAGGGAAGAGGATTTGGAAGAGAGTGTGTGTGCCAGATCTTTTGTGAAGAAAGGAAGCCCCTGTTGGGGAACATGTTACACCACATATTTGATTCACAAGGACTGAGGAGGTGTATTGGTAGTAAGTTCTCTGGAAAGGCTGACACCACTCATCCTCAGACCACTGGAGGTGGCCCAATATCAAGTTTCCTGTAGAGAAATCTGGAGAAGAACCATAAGTTGAGAACTAGATCAAGACATAACAGGGTCAAGGGGGAGCATAAATCTTTTTTTCTTAATTTTATTTTAAACAGTAAAATTAAGCATAACAAAAGATAACAAAACAAAACATAAGAAAGCAGTGTAAGAGACACATTTCAAAGCAAGACATCAGTAGATCTTCACTATCTGTTATACTTTCTCTTGTTTTCTTCCAAATACTTGTCCATATCTTCACATACAGTGAATTTATACAAAACAACATAGTATAAAACTGATCCAAACAGGATGGTGAAGGCATTTTACGGCTTCAAGACCAGACAATAAGGAAGTCGACAATGGCTGTCATAGTGTTCCTCATTCTCTTCAAAATCACTGTCCATTCCTTCATGCATTTTGAAATTAAACAAAACAGACTAAAATCACTTGGAATAAAGAATAATAATTTGCTGGATTTCACATCATGATGCTACGGAATCAGAACTGGGTCCCTTAGTGTCTCTTTTTCTTCAAAGTAGTTGTTCATTTTATTGTGCATTATATAATCAGTTCTCATAAACTGTTTAGAAGTTCTACACATGCACGAGTCTCTATATGGATAGCTATCCTTTCTGTATTGGAGGGAAAAACAAAACAAGACAAAACAAAAACTCCTAGTAAAACACAAAATGAAAAAGTAATATAAAACCATGACACAAGGTGACCTACATGGTTACTATGATGTCTCTTGTTATCTTCAATAGAATTGTCTATATCATCAGGCATAGTATAATTGAACATAGCAGTATATAACAATATTAATAAAAACAAAACATTGGAGACATTATAAGACTTCAAAAGCAGGTAATAATCAAACCAGAGTGGGTATCCTAGTAAATCCTGTCATCTTCAGTGTAGTTGTCTATACTCTCAGACTTGATACTATCAAATCATAACAGATTTGAATAAGATCAGTCAAGACGAGACAGTGATCTGAGAAACCAGATTCAAATAAGATCAGTCATAATAAGACAGTATAAGTAATACAGGGCTTCAGATTAAGTTAATAGGAAATTAAGGATGGTTACTGTGGTATATCCTGCTATTTTTGGAGTAGCTGTCTGGCCATTAAGTCTACTACAGGTAGACAGGCTGGAATAAAATATAACCAAACTAAACAAAATGATAAGAACAATGTGGATTTTAAATCGTGGTACACTATTAACAATGTCCTCTGCCTTCCTTTTTAGACAATTCCTTCCCTTTTACTTTCACTTTCATGGGGTACATTGTACATTTTGGTTCCCACTAATTCCCTTTAGTTTGTAGGTTAGGGATGCAAGCTGTTATTTACCCAAGTGGTTCTGAAACTTTTTACCCCTGGGCTTGATCTTAAGTTGTTTTCCTGCACGTACAAAAGCCTCAAGGCTTTTGCTTCATTATAGCTTTTTCTCCACTGCATAAGTATCATGTCTTTCCAAGCGATCTTCAGGTGCTGGACGAGCTGCCCCTATTTCTCTCTGGTTCCCTGTCACATAGAGCATTGTTTTTTCATATTTGACTTTTGGTCCATAAACCCTCTTTCACGTTAATTATATTTCCCATACAGAGGAAATTTTCGATGGGCCCTATCTCCTGATCTACTCTGCCTGTGTTTCTTTTTGTTAGTGTATCAAGGCCATCTATGTTAGAGATTATAGCCAACCTTCTCTGCCTCATTTCTGCTATGCTATTTTTCTGCTATTGGTTGTCTACTTTTCTCCTTCATTCCATTGTCTGCCCCATTCATTGAGGCCTCTCTGCCACTGTTCCTGAAATCCTGGGGTTTTTTTCTCCCTCTCTAGAATGTCCTTCAGTATTTTTTGTAGGGTTGGGTTGGTGGTCACGAACTCCCCCAGTTCCTCTTTGTCATGGAAGCATCTTGTTTCTCCATTAATTTTGAGAGACAGTTTTTCAGGGTATGTCAATCTGGATTGGAGGTTATTTTCTTTCAAGGCTTGGAATAATTCACTTCAAGTTCTTCTTGATTTGATGGTTTGTGTCAAGAAGTCTGTCATGAGTTTGATGGGTTTTCCTTTAGAGGTGATCTATTTCTTTTCTCTGACAGCTTTCAATATTCTGTTCTTGGGATGAATTTCTGGGATCTTGATTATTATATGTCTGGGTGGTAGCTCAGTTTTGTTTTAGGTGGCTGGAGTTCTGTATGCCTCAAACAGCTGAATATCATTTCCTTTTCCTATGCCTGGGAAGTTTTTCTTAATTATTTCTGTGAATAGCCTTTGTATCTGCTTTGTGTTTACTCCTGCTTCTTCACTCATTTTTATTCTTAAACTATGGATCATCCTCTTGTTGTCTTCTAGCCTTTGTATTGTTACTGCCTATTTCTTTGTTATTTTTAAGAGATCTTTCCTTTCACAATCACACATTGCAAACCTATCAAGTGTTGTTAATGTATCCCTAGTTTCCTTCAGGCAATTTTGCTATCTTTCAATGTAGTTTTAAATTTCCCGGTAATCTCTTTGACTCTGTTGCATGTATTCTAGTTTTATTTTATGGTCTTCTATGAAGGTTTCTCTCCTTTTTCGTGTTCCTCCATTTTTCTATCTATGTCTTCTTGGGAGGGGCTTAGCATTTCTTTTATTAATCTTACATCTTACTGTAGTTGTATTAATATTTCAGTTTTCAGTTCATCTATAATGTCATGAAGATATTTCTTTATGTCAGCTGATACCATGTCAAATATCTCATGTTTCCTGCCCTCAATCTGTTCGGTATATACCTCTCCTGGCCCCCATATTCCCTGGGTTGACTGGAGGCTTTTTCTAACTTCTTTCTCTTGTTATGTATCTTGCTTCCTCAATACAGGTGTATCGTGAAGGTCCCAGCCCCTTTCCTATTGGTTATGGTTCTCATGAAGTGCGCTGGCTAGGGATTGCAGCCTTCTCCATTTTGTTGTTGGTCATTGAGGTGCAAGCAGGGGTGGTGTAGGATGGCCCCTACCCTCTGAGCCAGTCAACCAGTGGAGGCCTTCACCACATTAGTTTGTGCAGCGAGGATGGAACTGGTTTAGGAAAATGTCAGGGACAATTTCAACTCTGGCTATTGGGTGCTGGCCAAAGGCATGACCCAGCTCTATCAGATCCCACCCATGTGCTCTTGGCAGGGAGCAGCCAACTGAAGTCACTGCCATTCCTTGTTCTGGCCCATCCTGTCCAATATCAATATGTCATCTGGTTGGTCACCTAATCTCTCCCAGGAGGGCCAGATTCTGAGCACTCATTGCAGGTTAGTGCAGGTCTCCACACTGGCTCTGTCCTCCATTGGGCTTACCAAACCCTGACTTCAGCACAACTGTGGCTCCAGTGAGAGCACTGCCACGCGAGTCCAACTGGCTCAGGTGAGAGTGCCACACCCGTGAGTTGGACTGGCTCTGGTGAGCGTGCTTCTGGCTCCAGCCTTCTGTCCACATTTTTCTTTTCTTTTTTTTTTTAAATCTTTTTCCTCAGTTTCTTCCTGAGTCATTGAGAGTCCATTTCCTTTCACCCAGTCTTCTGCATGGTGGTAAATTCTAAGTGTCTGAGCTGTTTCTCCCAGAGAGGCTCTGTACCTTGTTACTTACTGATCCACCATCTTTCCCGTGACTGCTGAACAAGGACAATCTTATAACAGAATCAACACTCAAAAGTCAGCTACAACTTGAAGATGTCTCTGAGGAGTAGTAATTTCCCAAGTCATTGCTATTGATAGCAGCAATAAAGATAACTACCATAAACAATTTATAAGGATCAGTGCAGCAATTTCACTGAAATAAAAATAGAAAATGTGAAGACATAGAAGCCAAATGTAACTCTGGATCTGCAAGTCCCCAAAGGCAAATTTAAGAGGCAATGAGGTGGAACAATTGAAAAGCCACCCTTCTGGACTCTTATGAAGTGGTATCACTGAAGGTAACAGAGCAGATGCATGAGGCTCCCAGTGTCTGACCTGTTCTCCCTGTCCTAAGCTCCACCACAGCTCAGCACTCCCCCAGGGCAGGACTGCTGCGGTAGGTCGTGCCCCTAGAGAGCTCCCTCCTGGGACCAGAGACTGAATGGGAATCATACGCCTCCTCAGCCTCATCCCATAAATCTTGTTTTTATTTCTGAAAATATTTCTAGCCAAAGGGGAAAGAGTAAAGAGATGAAAAACAAATTGTAATTCTAAGATACTACTGCCATTTCTGCCAAATAAAGAAAGGAATGGTAGGAATAATCCATAAAAAGCAGTAAATGGAAACAATCAAGACCATCGAACTAGAGGTCAGTTGGGAGAGGAACAGGGATTTATTGGGGGAAAAAAATAGGAAATAACAAAGCTAAACATAATTTTGGAACAAATGATGAAACATGAGAGCACTTACTCCTCACAGCTTCAGTGTTTGTGCTCACAAATGGCAAAGTCGATTCTTGCTGCTGCAGAGATGATTAGAAGCAGGGACAAGGGCTAGACTTGCCTTACACTGTAGGTACTTCCCTCCCCTCCTAAACTATCAGGCATCAGAGATTTCTGTTAAATTGATAATTATTCAAGTGACATTAATGTACACATAGAAGCATTGACTCATTTTAAGATAAGTAAGTTGTGATAAAATAGCTTTTTCACACAAATCCTTTAAAAAGTAACATAGAGACACTCTTTGGTTCATTCCTTCAATGCGGTATCAGTGGAAATCACTGAGAAATTCCCACGTAGCTTCTCCTCAGCCATGTCCCCAACTTTCACAAAACCTGCTTGTGTAAGGAGTAATGATATTGATGAGTAGTGTATAAAAATCTCACTAGGCATGGTGCGTATGCTTTCAGTTCGAGCTATTTGAAAATTTGAGGGAGAGGGATCACTCATTTGCAGGAATTTAAGGGCACCTTGGCAGCATAACAAAACCTCATCTTTTAAAACATAAATAGCATTGACACACCGTTTGTGAGCTCTGCTGTGCTGGGTGTCTCGAGAGCACCTATGTGTAGTGCAATGCTGTACCAATGGATGATGTGGTTTGTTCAATTTATATGCTGTTCTCTTCTTTCAGCTTTGACAGTCAGCCTCTCAGGGTCATGATGGATCCCAAAATCACTTTTTCACAACACCCGACATGTATAGATTGGTATATACTCACTTCCTGTTTAGTTATGGCATTTGGAAGAATAATGTCACATTGGAAATCATGTTCAACCTGTATTCTAATTTTTCTCTCATATTGATCTGACCAATGGGAAAGCAAAGTCAAAAATCTGAAGAACTCATTTCCAAAGCAAAGCATGTATCCTAACTCTGTGAGAATGTATGTTTGGCTTTCTCATATTTTCTTATATAGATTATTTTTCATTTTCCTTTTTAGATTTACCTGACACACATCTTCACTTGAAGGTAATGACTGTATATTTGTGTTCTGAATCAACTTCACATTTTGGAGCTGTGGAGTGTTCATTAAGCATTTGACTTTAAAACCCATTCAGCCTGCCATGGAAGCAAAAGATTGTGTTGCGAAGAAAGCAGTAGGAATAAAGGATGTAAAGACATTTCAACCAGGTAAATCTAGCAATACACATGACTCTGGAAAGAAATACAGTAGCTTACTGTGTTTGATGTACCCACAATCATCTCCATTTTTTCTCCAAATTTTGGAAAGCTTTGACATAAACACTGAAGATGTAAGTATTGGTGTCTGTGTTTGCAAATAGGTGCTAAAAAGCACAAGAGAAAACAACTTTTAATGTGTTGTTTACTTATGTTTCAATACCCAATGTTCCCAGTTTGCATCCTTTTTTATTGACAATTTTAAGTTTTATTTTAAAGAGATTAAGACAAAAGAAGACAGAACAAAGCAGGTCAGAGCAGAACAATGTAAGCAATACAGCACTTCACTACAAGACAACTGGATATTAACAGTAGCAACCAAAATTTGAAATACTTGCGTATACCTTCACATATAATAGTATCAAACATAACAAAATAGTGTAAAACTATTCAGGAGAATAAAAGTATTATAGGGCATTCAGAACCAAAGAACAGAAAATTAATAATGGCTATGATATTAACTCTTTTTCTATAGCAAATTTGTTTATACTATCACATATATTAAAATCCAATAAGACGCAACATGATAGAACCAATGGAAACATAAGAACAAAAGCATAGTAGGGCTTCAAAACAAGATGATATTACATCAGTGCAATGGCTGCCATAATGTCTTGTTTTCTTCAAAATAGCTGTTCATACCATCACACACAATCAAATCAAACAAAACAGAATAAAACCATTCCAACTAATTAATGAAAACATTATAAGGCTTCAAAGCAATGTAATGGGGAATCAAGACTACCATAAATCCTTTTGTACTCTTACCATGTCTTACATTAGGGAGACTATATGGTATTTAAATATGAGTTTTTATTTTGCTTATGAGTATGGTCTCAAGTTGCATCCATTTATTTATAGATATCTCAATGTGATCCTTCTTTATAGCTGAGTAGTACTCCATTGTATAGAAATACCACATCTTTTTTATCCATTCCTCAGTTGATGGACACTTAGACTGTTTCCAAGATATGGCTATTACAAATTGTGCTATTATGAACATGGGTGCACATATATCACTGTGGAATGGTGTTTTCAGTTCTTCTGGGAATATGCCCAGAAGTGAAATAGCTGGGTCAAATGGGACTTCCAATCTCAGCTTTTTGAGGAATGTCGAGACTGATCTCCCCAGTGGTGGCACCAGTCTACACTCCCACCAGCAGTGCAGGAGAGTTCCTTTTTCCCCACACTCTCTCCAGCATTTGTTGTTGGTAGTTTTCTTGATCCTGGTCATTCTTTCTGGAGTAAGATGGAATCTCAGTGTTGTTTTAATTTGAATTTCTCTAAAGACTGATGATGATGAATATTTTTTCATGTATTTATTTGCCATTTGCATTTCTTCATCTGAGAACGTGTATTCATCTCAGATGCCCATTTTTGGATTGGGTCTTTGAATTTCAGGGGTCTCATTTTTTAAAAAAAATTCTTTATATGTTTTAAAAGTCCTTTGTCTGAGGGACAGTTTAGTGAGAATTTTTTTTCCCAGTTTGTGGGTTTTATTTTCACTCTGCTGGAGACTTCTTTTGACATGCACAAACTTTTTAATAGGACATCATCCCAGTTATTGATTCTGGGAAGTATTTCTTGTGTGGTTTGATTCCTGTTCATGAATTCCCTACCTACCCTTATGTTTTCAAGATTTTTATCTAAGATTCAAGATTTTTGTCTTCCAGCAGATTTAGTGTTTCTGTTTTAATATTCAGATCTTTGATCCATTTAGATTTTAGTTTAGTACATGGTGATAGGCATGAGTCTAGGTGTAGTTTTCGGCATATGAGGAGCCATTTTTCCAGCACCATTTATTAAAGAGACTGTCATTCTTCCAGTGAACATGTCTTTATCAAAGATAAGGTGGTTGAGTGTGTTTGCAGTTATGATTGTGTCTTCTAATAATCTATTCCATTGATCTTCAGATCCATATTTATTCCAGTACCATGCTGATTTTATTACAGAAACTCTGTAGTATAACTTCAAGTCAGGGATAGTGATGCCTCCTGTCTTGCCTTTGCTACTTCAAACTGCTTTGGTTACTCTAGGTCTCTTTTGGTTCCAGGTGAATTTTAGGCATTATTTCTCTAGATCTGTAAGGTTTGTTAATGGTATTTTCATTGGGATTTCATTGCATCTGTATATAACACTTTTGGGCGAATGATCATTTTCACAATATTTATTCTTATCCATGAACAATGGATGTCTTCCCATTTTCTGATGTCTTCAATTTCTTCTTTCAGGGTATTATAATTTTCCCTGTAATTCTTTTACTTGTATTGTGAGATTAATTCCTAAATATTTCATATTTTTGGATGCCAGTGTGAAGGGTGTGGCTTCTCTTATTTCTCTGTCTGTGATTTTGTTGTTAGTGTATAGGAATGCAATTGATTTTTGAGTATTGACTTTGTATCCAGCTGCACTGCTGAACTTATTTATTATATCTAGAAGTCTTTCAATGGAGTTTTGGGGGTCTTCTGTGTAGAGTATCATGTCATCTGCAAATAATGATAATTTAACTTCCTCTTTTCCTATGTTTACTCCTTTTATTTCTCTCTCTTGTCTAATTGCTCTGGCTAGTATTTCCAGTACTATGTTAAATAGGAGCGGTGATGAGGGACATCCTTGTCTTGTGCCTGATTTTTAGGTAAAGGCCTTCAGTTCTTTGCCATTTAATATGATTCTGGCTCTTGGTATGTCATTGATGTCTTTTATCATACTGATGTAAAGACCATCTATTCCAATTTTCTGTAAGATTCTTCTCATGGATAAGTGTTGGATCTTATCAAAAGCTTTTCTGCATCTATAGAAATGATCATGTGATTGTTACTTTTGGCTCTATTGATATGTAGGATTACATTTATTGATTTATGTTTGTTGAACCATCCCTGCATGGATGGGATGCATCCCACTTGGTCATGGTGTGTAATCTTCTTGATGATTTGCTGTATCCTGTTTGCCAATATCTTAATGAGGATTTTTGCATCTATGTTCTTTAGGAAGATCTTTTTTAGTTGGGTCCTTCTCAGATTTTGGTAGTAGGGTAACAGTTGCTTCCAGGAATGACTTGGGAAGAATTGCTTTCCTTTTGATTTCATTGAGGAGTTTGAGGAGTGTTGGCATTAAGTCTTCATTGTATTTCTTGTAGGATTCCACAGTGAATCCACGTGGGCCTGGGCTCTTCTTTGTAGGTAAGGACTTAATTATGTTTTCAATTTCATTAATTGAATTTGGGTTATTCAGCAGTTTGACATCTTCTTGACCCAGCTTTGGTAGTTTATATGTTTCTAGGAATCTGTCTATATCTTCTGTGTCATCGAACCTATGAAAGTAGAGGTTTTTGAAATAGGTGTTAATGATCTTTTGTGTTTCTGCAGTCTGCAGTGACTTCACCTTTTTCATTCCTTATTGCATGAATTTGAGTTTTTTCTTTCCTTTTTTAAAAAAAGGTTGGTTAGTGGATTATCAATTTTATTTATTCTTTCAAAGAACCAACTCTTTGCTTCATTGATTCTTTATATTGTTTTCTTAGTCTCTATTGCATTAATTTCTGCTCTGATTTTTATGATTTACTCCATTCTTATGGCTTTGAGCTTGACTTGCTCTTCTTTTTCTAGATGTTTGAGGTGTAGCATCAAGTTGCTTGTTTTTGTTCTATAATCCCGATGCGGGAGCTCAGTGTAATTTTTCTCTGAGGGCTGCTTTCATTGCATCACACAGATTCTGGTAAGTTGTATTTATATTTTCATTTGCTTGTAGGTATTGTTTAATTTCTCTTTTAATTTCCTTTGTGACTCACTGAATGCTCAAGAGTGTATTATTCAATTTCCATGTGTTTGGGGGATTCTTGCCATTTCTTTTATCATTAATTTCTAGTTTCATTGTCCTATGATTTGATAAAATGCATGGGATAATTTCAACTCCTTTGCATTTACTTAGATATGTTCCATGGGCTAGTATATGGTCTCTTTTAAAGAATGTCCCATGTACGGCTGATAAGAATATGTATTCTGATGTTGTTGAATGGAACACTGTATACGTTTATCAAATCCATTTGTTCACAGCTATGATTCAGTTCTGTTATTTGTTTGCTGATTTTCTGTCTGGTTGATCTCTCCCTTAGTGCCAAGGGTGTGTTAAGGTCTCCTGTCATAATTGTGTTATTACTTATTTGATTTTTCATTTCTGCTAATATTTGCTTTGTATAGCTGGGTGTTCTGGAATTTGGTGCATGTATATTTAAGATTGTTATCTCTTCCTCTTGAAGTTTTCCCCAAACTACTATGTAGTGACCTTCTTTATCTCTTTGGATTATTCTTGGTTTCAAGTTCACATTGTCTGCAAATAGAATAGTTACCCCTAATTTTTTAAATTCCTGTTGCATGAAGTATTGTTTTCCATCCTTTGACTTTCAGTCTATGAGTTTCCTTTTGGGTTAGATGGGTTTCTTGTGGACAGAGTTTGATTTGATGTTGTTTCTTAATCCATTCTGCCAGTCTGTTTCTTTCAATGGATGAATTGAATCCATTTACATTAATGGTTATAGCTGTTCTACACTGCTTTATTGTTGACATGTTTTCTTTCTGCTGTTGTATCTTTACCTTTCTATTCTGTTTAATTGGTATGTCATAGATGTCCTTTATCATATCGAGGTAAATATTGCTTAGTAGTCTTTTCCTATGTGTATCTAGAATGTGTTTCAGTATTCTTTTCCAGATTGGTTTGGTATTTATGAAGTTCGTCAGCTGTTCTTTGTCATGGAAGTATCTTATTTCTCCATCCATTTTGAAGGACAGCTTTTCAGGGTATATCAGTCTGGGTTAGAAGTCATTTTCTTTTAGGATCTGAAATACTTCGCTCCATGCTCTTCTTGACTTCATTGTTTGTGTTGAGAAGCCTTCTGTGATTCTTATATGTTTTCCTTTATAGGTGGTCTGTCTTTTCTCTTTAACAGCTTTTAATATTCTATTCTTATGTTTGATTTCTGGGTGGTGATTATTATATGTCTGGGTGGTTATGGCTATTTGGAGTTCTATATGTTTCACTAATCCATATGTCAGTTTCCATTTTCATGTTTGGGAAATTTTCAGCTACTACTTGTGTAAATAGCCTCTTCATATCATTTGTGTTGTCCCCTTCTTTTTCATTTATCCCTATCAATCTCTTGTTTTTATTTGCATCATGTTGCATTGCTTGAATTGTTATCTCCTGATTCCTTGTTATTTTTAAAATATCTTTCCTGTTCACTAGCTGAAATCTTGTCTTCGAGGTCTGAAGTTCTATCTTCACTCCTTGTGACAGTTTTGACAACTTTCAATGAAATTTTTGTTTTCCTGTATATCTCTTTGAATCTGCTTCATGCATTCTGTTTCTTAAACTGTTCATCCATGAATTCTATGTTTTTACATTATTCCTCTAATTATTTAACTGTGTCTTCTTTAGATATGTTCAGCATTTCTTTTATTACCTTTATCATTTCTTCTTTTACTTGAGAGATTATTTCTAATTTGAATTCCTTTAAAACTTCTCAGAGTTGCTTCTTTAATTCATTTCATATTATTTCAGATATTTCAGGTATATGGCATATATTTTCTTCTATGTATATGGTTTCCAGGCTATCTTGGGATGGGCTGGAGGTTTGATATTGCATTTTGGTCTTCTGTCTTGTCATTTTCCTAGAATTCTGTGTTTCAAAAGATGTTCCAAAGCTTCCCCTGGGTGTGTTGGTAATTGTCTCCTGTGCCCTTGGCTCCTGGGACTGAATGGAGGTTGCAGATCATGGTCCAGTCATACCCACAGGAACTTTCATGCCATCTCCAGTGTTTCAGAAAGCTGGGTGAGCTCCTAACCAGGGTTAGGGATGGTCCAAATGTCTCCCTAGGCTAGCACCAATGTGCTAGAACTAACCTCCAATGCATTCATCTCCACTGATTGAAGAAGGTCACAGCGTATAGTCCATTTGAGTCCGTGAAAGCTGCAGAGATCAGTATAGTGTGGCTGGAAGCTGGGCGGGCACTTAACCACTGGGAGCAATGATCTTAAACTCTCCCAATTTGGATTCTTATATTTCACAGGGATCCACAGATCTAACTATAATATTTGAAGATGGTTTGAAAGTTTGTGGATTCTTGGTGGAGTGCTGGGTCCTCTGGCACATCCCAGAGTCCCTATTAATTCAGGAAGTTGTGGTAAGAGGTTCACTGGTACCCAGGACCTTATCTCTCAGTTCAACATCACCAGCAAAAATGCCTCCAGTAATTCTGATTTGTACCTTGACTAAAGCTTTCCTTAATAACAAGCCAAATGCATTTCCATTCTATTTCATCTAATTATTAGAATATTCATGTTTGCAAGCAGACAGATGTTCACAAAAGCAGACTGTATGAATGTGTATGTATGGTGTGTAACAGTTTGATTAGTAAGAATGGGGTCTATAATCATTCCTTGGTGCCTGCTAGATAGAATTTTACAGACCAGTGATTGTGAAACTTAGGTCTGATTCCTTGTATAGTAGTTAAGGTTCTTACAGATTCTACAGGACCTTTTATTTTTAAGCATGTTGAAATCTATTGACACTGTAGAAGAAACTGAATCTGAAAGAGGTAAAATATAGGGACCTGGGATTAAATTCAGCAGCATGAGTGTCTGCTTGCCAAGTACAAGATGATGAGTTTGATCCAAGGTGCAAAAAGAAAGAAAGAAACAAGCAAGAAAGCATTAAAATAGTGGCATGCATACATATGTCGACATTCATGAGAGCTGTGATTCAGAATCTTTTGAACTGTGACACATGACATATTACATCTCTGAAAACCCGCTGTGCTATGCCTGAACAAGAAAGAGAATCAGCATGAAATGGAACATAACTTTTCATATGATTGGTCTTCTTAGAACCTAAGCCTCCAACAATTCTAATGCACTGTTAAACTACCATTCCAAAAACATGGGAAATCCACGAAAGCCATATGATAAAAAACTTCTTCACTGGGAAATGCCTTTTAAACTCTTATGTCTCCTGTTTGTTTTGACTTGTGTTAAAATTTGCAAATCTTCCAATGTGATTTATAAAGAAAAAAAGATATATTTTCATTATGCTCTCCTTTGCTGTCTCCTGGTGCTCTGCATTCACTAATGTGAACCTAGGTCAGAGACAGCAAACTTCTAGGCCTTTCAATGATGGCAAAGAGCCCACTGTGCAACATGTGCCAAAGGTTCACCACGATTCACCTGGAATAAACCAGTTTGCACATGAGCACATTTAGGTCACTGAAAGCTAGCACTTTTCTTAGGAATTTATGATGTTATCAAAACCCGGAGAAGGGAATTCTCACAACACTGATGTATTGAAGAATGTATCTCATTGTAGTTCCCCATTTGAAAGTAGAATATTCATTCACATCCATACCTTTGACTGGGGAAAAAATAGTGTGTTTATATTCAAGTGGATAATTTTCATGTATTTTTTCGAATTGCTTTCATTGGTGCATTTTAGATATCCATAAGGATCACATTCATTAAAGGAAGTTTCTCCCTGTACCTGATAGTCTTATTTATTTTTCCCCTAGTCACTTCTTCTCCCTTCAACTCCTTATCTTACTGTCCTTATTTAAAAATTTTGTTTCCATTTTCTTCTGTTTGCTCCTTTTTTTCCCTTTACATCCTTTACTTCCTTACCCTCCCACCACTTTACCATTTCTATTTGAATATTTTCTATCTTTTGCACAGTTGGGCCATTACACTTTTCAGTTTCTCCCACTAGCAAACAATATGATATTGAAATTTGTGCTTGTGACTCATTTCACTTAACCAGTGGAGTCTTTGTCCCCATTCTTTCCATCCACCCTGCCTCTTCTTTGCTTCCCCTTTCTCTAGAAGAATTGCTCCCTATTTCACAATGCCTTTTATACACTTTGCTCATTCTTTACACACTTAACATCTCAAAGCAGTGAAATATAATTCATATCCCTAAAGTTTTAACAATCAAGAGTACTAAAAACTAAAGAGTGGAGCAGGGGATTTAGTTCAGTGGTATAAGTGCCTTCATGGGAAACACAAGGTCATGAGTTCGATCCATGGTATACCCCACCCAAAAAAAGAAAACAAAAAAAAATTAAAGAGATTGTTGGAAAATCACAATACTACTAAGTTAAAACAGAAGAAAGAGAGATGATGGTAACAATCAGACTTGGCTTAGTGAGTGTCAAGCACAGAAGCAGTGGAACAATTATTGGACTGTGGGGCAGAGAAATACATGAGAGTACTTCTGAGGAAAGGGTTGATATATTAATTATGTTTGTATTGTCATTACATCCTAATAAGTAAAACTTTTTGTTCTGATTCAGATTGGAGTTTCACCGAGTCTAATGAGACTCTGAAGAGATCTGAGAAATTGATGCTTGGCCATCAACATCCACTTCTGGCAGAATCCGTGATGAAGAGTCCATCAGCATTCCCAGAATCTGGTGAGTCAACCTTACTGGGTAAAAACTGATGAATATCAGACCTGTGTTTGTGTCAGGCAGTTGTTCTCACTGTGTTGCATGATTTGGGTTTCCAAAGCAAAGCATGAAGATTCAGCCAAAGCCTCACAGTACAAGAATGTGTCTTTGGCTTTCCCATATTTCCTTATAAAGTTTATTTTTCCTTTTTCCTTTACAGAATCAGGTGACACACATCTTCACGGGAAGGTAATGACTGTATATTTGTGTTCTGAATTAACTGCATAGTTTGGAGCTGTGGAGTGTTTACTAACCATTTTACTTTAAAACCCATTCAGGCTGCCATGGAAGAAAAAGATTCTGTTGTGAAGAAAGCAGTAAGAATGAAAGTTATACCGACATTCCAACTAGGTAAATGAAGCAATACAGATGACTCTGGAAAAATCACAGTACCTTAAAGTGTTTGATGTGCCCAGAATCATGTCAGTTTTTTTCTCCAAATGTTTGGAAGGCTTTGACATTAACAGTGCAGATGTAATTATTGCTGTCCATACTTGCAAATAGAGTGCTGATATGCATAAGAGAAAACAACTTTTAATGTGTTGTTTACTTATGTCTCAATACCCTATGTTACCAGCTTGGACCCGGGGTACTTCACAGGTATCCACAAAACTTACTATAAAATTCCGAGTTGTTTTCAAGTTTGTGGGTGCTTGCTGGAGAGTTGATCCTTCTGGCACCTTCCTGAGTCCCAGTTAACTCAGGAGGCTGTGGCAAGAGGTTCACTGGTCCCCACCATCACATCTCTCAGTTCACCACAGTGAGGAAAAGTGCTTCCAGTAAGTCTGATGTTTACCTAGACTAAGCTTTCCTTACGAACAAGCCCACTGTGTTTCCACTTCATTTCATCTCAGTATTGATATGTTCTTGATTGCAAGCAGATAGATTTTCTCAAAAGCAGACTCTTACAAGTATGTATGTATGGTGTCTCATATTTTGATTGTTAAGAAAGTAGTCTACAATCATTCCTTAATGACTGGTAGATACAGTTATTCAAAACAGTGATTATGAATCTTAGGCCTGAATTCCTTGAGTAGTAGGAAGTTTTCTTACAGATTATACAGAAGCTTTTTTTATAAGAATGTTGACTCTATTGACACTAGTAGAAACTGAATCTTAGTGAGGCAAAATACAGTGAGCAGGGATTTAGCTCAGCAAGATACATATCTGCCTGGCAAGTGCAAGTTGAGGCGTTCAACCTTAGGTATCACAACAAAGAAACAAACAAGTGGCAAAATAGCAACATGCAGCACATATGCCAGCATCCATTAGAGCTGTGATTCATGAATCATTTGAACTGAGACATGTGATACATTATATATCTGAAAACCTCACTGTGCTATGCCCCAACAAGAAAGAAAAAGCGTGAAATGACAGGTAACCTTTGGTATGATTGGTCCTCTTACAATGTTATACTCCATAGATTTTAATTCACTGTTAAACCACCATTCCTACAGTATGGGAAGTCCATGAAAGCCATATGACAAAGAGATTTTTCACAGTGAATTGTCTTTTAAACTCTTATGTCTCCTGTTTTCTTCCACTTATCTTCAAATTTTTAAATCCGATAATGTGGTTTCTAAAGAAAAAGGGTATATTTTCATTATGCTTTCTTTTCCTGTCTCCTAGCACTCTGCACTTGTTGGTACTTGTTTGTGTCTAGGTCTAGATCAGAAACGGAGAAACTTATAGGGCTTTCAGGGATAGCAAAGAGCTTGCTGTGGCACATAAAAATAATACTTACCCAATGTTTATGAGCTCTACCTCTGTGGAAATTTTGAGAGCACCTTACCTCCTGTTGATGAGGCCCTCAGTTTCCCATGCTGTCCCTTCACAGCCTTCTGTGTCTCATAACCATTTTCAACAGTGAAAATACTAATTCACTGGCTGCATAGCTGAACAGCTTCAAGAACAATGGAAAATACCATACCAAAATGAAATGGCAATGAATATTAGTTCATGTGGATCTGAGGAAGCCTCAGAAGTAAGAACGGATGCTCAAAAGAGAAATATAGACTAGTGGGGAAGATGGCAGATCAATAAGTAGCAAGATAGCGAGGCTCTCTGAGAGAAACAGCTAAGATGCTAGAATTTAATGCCATGGAGAAGACCAGAAAAAAGGAGAGGGATTCTCATGACTCAGGAAAAAGCCAAGGAAAAATGAAAGAAAAACATGGGTGGAAGCCTGAATCCAGATGCACTTTCATTCAACAGAAGTGCTCCCACATTGCCCTAAGCACCCTGGAGTCCAACAACTCACAGTCCTGCTGAAGTTGGGGGTTTTTGAGCCTGAGGACCTTAGTAGGAAGGTGTGTAACAACAGAGAATGGAGCTGGCATGGAGATCTACACTAGCCTGTGGTGAGTGCTTGGAATTTGGTCCTCCTGCAGGAGGTGGTGATCAGCTGGGTGACATGCTGGAATCAGGCAGGATGGGCCTGAATCTGGAACTGTAGTTGCTTCATTTGGCCTCTCCTGATGCAGAGCAGATTGGTGGGAACTGCTTCAACTGGGTCATGCCCCTGGAACGGGACCCAATAGCCAGGGATGAAGTTGCCCCTGAAACAGTCCTGAGCCAGTTCCATCTGTGCAGTACACACTAAGATGGTGAAGACTCACATGGTTGACTGGCTCAGAGGGGAGGGGCCAGCCTGCACTACCCCTGCTTGTACCTCACTGATCAACAGCAAATGGGAGAGGGCAGAAATCCCTCACCATTGACTTCAAAGAAATCATAACCAATACAGAAAGGGCCTGGGACCCACACTATGCACTTGTCGGGAAGAAACCAGAAACATAACAAGAGAAAGAAAGAAAAATCTGTCTTCAGCTACCAATTCAAACAGTATGGGTCTAGGAGAGGTAATTACAGAAGAGATCAAGGATAGCAGACATGAAGTATTGGAAACAGCATCAGCTGACATAAAGAAATATCTTTGTGACATTATAGAAGACCTCAAAACAGAAATACTAATACAAGTACAGCAAGATATAAGAAGTCTAATAAAATAAATGCTAAGCACGTCTCAAGAAGACACAGATGGAAGAATGGAGGGTCACAGAAAAAGGAGAGAAACCTTTGATGAAGAATATAAAAAAGTGTAGAATACATGAAACATATTGAAAGATACTACCAGGAAATTTAAAACTACATTGAAAGATTGCAAAACTGCCTGAAATAAACTAAAGATAGACTATGAAAACTTGAAGACAGGCTTGCAATATGTGATCATGAAAGGAAAGGTCTCTTAAAAGTAACAAGGAAACAGGAAATAGCAATACAAAGGCTAGAAAATGACAACAGGATCTATAACTTAAGAATAAAAAATGCGGGGCTTCTGGGAGAACATGGCGGACAGATAGCAGCAGCTACAGAGGCTCTCTGAAAGACCCAGCTAAAAATTCATGAATGGTGCGGAGTAAGGAATCATAAGCAAGTGGAGATATGCCCTGCTGACCCAAGAACGGGCTGAGAGAAACCAACTTGGAATGCAATCCTGATGCTATAACAGGAACAGAAAAGCCTCAGTGTGGAAGCTGAAGCCCGCGCCATTGGAAGCCATGATTTGGATTTCCCACCACGTGGCGGCTGCGTCTACATTGGCTCGGCAGGGAGAGAGACGCACGGAAGCTCTGAGAACAGGAATCAGCAAAGGGAGTTAAAAACAGCACGGGCGGGGAGCCATGCATCCACCTCTGGTGAGTGAGGGAAAACTGGGACTCTCCCACGGTCCAGGAGACTCCAACAGAGGACATTCCGGGACTGGGCAGACTTGCAGGAGTGGGGCGCTGCAGCGACTTCAGCCACCTATCCCCCTCTCAAGCGGGATTGGTGAGAAGTGCCTAGCCTACGTGACGCTGCTGGCCGAGACCCAGTAGGCTAGCACAACCCAGATCCCAGAGCCTGAGGGTGGCCTGGAGGGGCAGGCCCCGCGTAGGCTGCCTGGTCTGCAACTTCCTGGTGTGCTACGGTGGGCGGGAACACCTAGTCGGCGCAATTCGATCAGGCTGTAGCTGACAGGGAGGGAAGCTGGACCTCCTATATACGCTTGCATATATAAGGAACAAAGAATATGGGAAGAGGGAGCAATAAGAAAGGCCCTTCGGCCTCCAATCCTGAGAAACAGGCAAGAGCGGACACCACACCAATAGACATAAAGCGCCATCTAGAGAGCTTCATAGATGAATTCAGGAATGAAGTTATTAATGGCCTGAAGCTAGACATAAGCAGAATAGTTAGAGAAATGCTAAGCACCACCCAAGAAAAAACGGATGGTGGAATGGAAGAACAGAAAAAGAGGGGAGAATTGTTTGATGGAGAAAAAAGAGAAAGCATAGAATACATGAAGCAGGTTCAAAGAGACTACCAGGAAACTAAAAAGTCTATCGAAAACTGGCATAACAGCTTGAAAGAAACTAAGGACAGACTATCTGAACTGGAGGGCAGATTTGTAATATGGGAGAATGAAATGAAAAACTTCTTAAAAGTAACAAAGAAACAAACAGCAATAATACAAAGACTAGAAGATGATAAGACGATCCATAACTTAAGAATTAAGAACATAAAAGAAGAAGTAGGGACACAAACAAATGAACTACAAAAGCTACTCACAGAAATAATCCAGGAGAATTTTCCTAATTTAGCAAAAGGTAAAGATACTCAGTTGTATGAAGCATACAGAACCCCAGCCACCCACAACCCAAACAGAGCAACACCTAGGCATATAATAATAAAAATTCCATAAATTCAATACAAGAACAGAATATTAAAAACTGTCAGAGACAAGAAACAGACCACTTACAAGGGAACACCCATCAGAATTACAGCAGATTTCTCTGTACAAACCATCAAATCACGAAGAGCGTGGGGGGAAATAATTGAAGCTTTGAAAGATAATAATCTCCAGCCAAGATTGATATATCCTGCACAACTGTCCCTGGAAATTGATGGAAAAACAAGGTGCTTCCAGGATAAAGAGGAACTGGGGGAATTTGCAACCACCAATTCAACTCTACAGAGAACACTGCAAGATATTCTAAAAAAGAAAAATACAAAAAATCCAGAAGTAGCGGCAGAGAGGCCACAATGAATGGAGCAGAAAACAAAATGAAGAAGACAAACTGACAACTAATGACAGAAAAAGAGCTCAACAGAAATGAGGCAGAGATGATTGGATGATAGGAACAGCTATTTTGGAGAAAATGACGTCTTAATAGGTAATACTGATTTAGTATCATCTTGTTTTGAAGTCTCATCAAGCTTTTGTTCTTCTGTCTGCATTGGTCTAAACAGGTTGTATCTTATTGGATTTTATAATGTATGATAGTATAAGCAAAGACTTTTAAAGACAA